ATGGCTAAAATAAGGCTTATTCAACAAACAAGGTGCATGGACCACTATTACTTGAAATAAAACAAATATAGAGCCCTATTTCACACATTACACAAGAAATATTCAGATAAGTTAAAAATCAATATGTAGAATCTAAGGAGTTTTAGGAGAAAATAGGACTAATATTTTTTATGACCTAAAGTAAAATATTCAAACCCAGAAGCTATAAAGTACATATTGACAATATGACTATATTAAACATTTAACTATATAGTGATATACATATAAAAAAAGTTAAAGGATAAGGAATAGAATAGAAAAGTACTTGCAACACATCTAAATCATGGTTAATAGTTTTTTTTTTTTTTACTAGTTTTTAATAGTTTAGGTAAAAATGTTCTACAAACCTTTAATCAATAAATGGATAAAGAACACCAAAAGGTCATTTAAAGCTTTTTTTAAAAAATAATAGAAATAGGCAAGCAATATACTAAAACAGGTTTAGTTTCAACAAATAGTAAAGGAACAATGAAAATAACATCATTGTCACAATCAGATTAATGAGTATAAAAATATTGGTAATATCAAGTACTGACAATTGTGAAAGGAACTGGGTATTCATAGACTCTTTTTCTTCCTCTTAAAGCAGTCCCTTTAGCATATTTTGCAGTGTTGGTTTGGTGGAGGTGTATTCCTTCAGCCTTCTTTTGTCTGGGAAACTCCTTATTTCACCTTCCATTTTAATTGAGAGCCTTGCTGGGTAGAGCAGACTTGGTTGCAGGCCTTTGCTTTTCAATACTTGGAATATTTCTTGCCACTCCCTTCTGGCTTGCAGTGTTTCTGTTGAGAAGTCAGCTGCCAGCCGTATTGGGGCTCCTTTAATGTTCCTACCTGTTTCTCCCTTGCTTGCTTTAGGATTCTCTGTTTGTCTTTGATATTTGCCATTTTAATGATGATGTGTTGGAGTGGGCCTCACTGTGTTCCTCTTGAATGGGACCCTCTGTGCTTCCTGGACTTGTGTGACTTTTTCTCTCCTCCAATGAGGGAAGTTTTCCATCATTACTTTTTCCACCAGGTCCTCTATCCCTTCCTCATCCTCTTCTCCTCCTGTATCCCTATTAAAAGGATGTTATTACGTTTCAGGTTGTCCTGCATTTCCCTCAATACCTCTTCATACTTCTGGAGTCTTTTTTCATTTTCTTGCTCTTTTGGGAGCTTTTTCCTACCTTGTCTTTCAGCTCACTGATTCAGTCCTCAGCTTCATCTAGGCTGCTTTTGATTCTTTCTGCTGTGTTCTTCAATTCAAAAACTGTATTCTTCATTTCCTCTTGTCTCTTATTGATAGTTTCTATGTCCTTTTTCATGCTGATATAGTTAGCAGTAAGTTCCTCATAGTTTCCCTGTAGTGTTTGGTAATTCTCTTTGAGTTCACTGAGTTCATTGAACTTCCTTAGAACCATTGTTTTGAACTTAGTATCTGATAGTTTACTTGCCTCTGTTTCATTTAGTTCTCTTTCTGAGTATTCCTCCTTTCTCCTTGAGCGGGGTGTAGTTCTTTGTCTTTCCATTATTTGTGAGACTCTTCTTTTTCACTTCTGCTTCTTAAATTGATCTGTCTTGATTTCCTGACTTTGTGGTGTGAACTTCTATGGTTGGAGACCACTGTTTTTACTTTCTGGATCTGCCTCTGATGATGTCAGATGTTGACACTGTCTGACCTTAGGCAGTCTGTTCAAGACTTCCAGTAATTTACTGTTTGTGGCTGTCTCCTTCAGCTGTTAATCTATTCACTCTGCACTCAGCTGGCCACCTTAGCTCAGGGTGGGGCAGAGTCCCTCCTGGGGCGGGGTTATTGGGTCCTTTCATGCTGCTGCCATATTGAGGAGGAGTCTGCACTGGGATCCCTCTACCTACTCTCTGTTGTCTCCCCAAAGGCTCCATCCTCAGTCTCTCCTCAAGTGTCCCCAGACCTCTCTGCGCCTGCTTTATCCAGGGATCGACTGTCTGTGGCTGCCACTCTGCACTCAGCAGGCAGCTTAGACAGCACGGGGTGGGGTGGAATCCTGAGTGTGGGTGGGACTATTGGGTCCTTTGACTCTGGTACTGCTCAGGGGGTGGGGTCTCTGCCTTCCCAAGATGGCTGCTGCCGCATGGAGGATGAGTGAACACTGAGATCCTTCCGGCTATTCTCTCAGTTCTCTCCCCAAAGCCTCCTTCCCCAGTTTCTATTCAGGTGTCTCTAGCCTCTTATGCCCCCACCTTTGCCGAAGACCAGGGTAATTGGCTGCAAATAAAAATTTCGCATTAGCCCTTTAAACGGTTCTTTGCATCTCTAGCTGCCTGTCTCTGGCAGAGAGCAACCCAGCCGCTTTTTGCAGCTGTCTGTTTTCTGTATACTTTTTGGGCTCTGGTGCTGTGGGCTAGAGAACCCCACTTGTGGTTTAGACCCCGCTCTTCTCAAGGGTATCCAACTGGCTGTTTCAATATCCTTCTCCTGCTGCCCACGTGGGCGCCTCACCTACCTTCTTAGTTCTGTACCTCACTCCTTACCAGTTAGATTGCGCTAAAGCCAATTCTTCCGTCTCCAAAGTTATGAGGCTCCTCTCTCACTCTTGTTCAGTTGTTTGTTCCAGGTGATTTCTCCACAATTTAGTTGTAATTCCAGGTTGGTCCTGGGAGGAGGTCAGTGTGACTTCTACTCACTCCTCCGCTATCTGGATTCCCTCTAAAGTGATTATTGGTAGAGATATATTTAGTGCCTTTTTAGTGTTAGAATATTTCCTCTATTTTTTTTCTTTCTCATTTTCTTCTTAAGCCCTTTAACAATTGCTACAGTACTGGTTTGGTGCTAACAAACTCCTTTAGCTTTTTCTTGTCTGGTAATCTATTTCTCTTTTGATTTTTAATGATATCCTTGTTGGATTAAGTATCCTTGATTGTATGTCCTTGCTTTGCATCACTTTCAATTTTTCACGCCACTCCCTTCTGGTCTGTAATGTTTCTGTTGAGTAATCAAATGACAGTTTGATTGGTGTTCCCTTTTATGTAACTACATGCTTTTATCTTGTGGCTTTTAAGATTCCTTGTCTTTAAGCCTTGCTGTTTTAATTATGATGTGTCTTGTTGTAGGCCTTTTTGGGTCCAGCTTTGGGACTCTCTTGAGTTTCCTTAACTTGTGTGTCCTTTTCCTTCACCAGATTAGGGAAGTTTTCAGTCCTTATTTCTTCAAATAGGTTTTCAGTCCCTTGCTCACTCCCTTTTTCTGGTGTTCCCGTGATGCGGATGTTGTTACTCTTCATGTTGTCCCAAAGGTTTCATAAGCTCTACTAAGTTTTTAAAATTCCTTTTTCTTTTTGGTGCTCTGTTTGGATGTTTTGTTTTGTTTCTTTTACCTTGTCTTCCAAATCACTGATCCAATTCTCTGTTTCATCTGACCCAGTGTGTATTCTGTCAAATTTATTACTCATTTTAAATCTTGTTTTCTTTATTTTTGACTGGTCCTTTTTTTATGGTTTCTGTCTTTGTTCATGCTGTTGAGTATCTTAATAATCATTCCTCTGAACTCTCTATCTGATAAACTCCTTGACTACTTTTTATCTTGTTCTTCTTGTTTAGAATTCTCTTGTTTTTTCATTTGGGAGCTGTTTCTTTGTCTTCACATTTGGTTGCCCTTTTGTATTTTTTCTCTTTATTAGGTAGTTCTGCAAAGACTCAGATATAGACATATGTCAAACACTGTCTGTGATTAGCCCTGGGTAACTTGTTTGAGCTATCAGTGATCCATAGCATGTGATTCTTTCTGCTGTGCCTGTTTGCGTGCAGAAAATACTAGGCTGCACATCAAGGCCAGGTTTAATCAGCACTGGACCCAGGGGATGGTTAGCTAAAATCTCAGATCTTCCAGAGATCTTCCTCTGCCTGCAGTCTTTCTGCTAGGCTTGAAGAGTAAAAGTCTTCCAACTGTACTCCTTCAGCAGGGCTTAGGTACCACAGGGGAGGGCAGAGTAATTTTTTGTGGGTGGGGCTATTGCTTCCCCTCAGGCAGATTCCCCTTGGAGGGGAGTGCTCTACCTGAGAAAAATGGCTCTTGCAATATAGTGAATGACTAAGTACAGGGATCTTAGCTGCTGTTCCTTTGGTTCTCTACCCAGAGCCACCAGCCCCAGACTCCTCACACGTCTCTAGTGCACTCTGCCTTCCTTCTGCTGGAGCCCAAGGGAGAGTGGCTACAGATGGAATTTTGTATGTTGGTTCTGTAAGAGGCTCTGTGCACTTTCAGCTCTTTCTTTCTTATGGACAGAGTTCTAGCTGCTTTTCATAGCCATCAGATTTTTGGTGTCCTTCTCTGTTTCTGGTGCTGTTGGCTGGGAAGCCCAGCTGGAGGTTTAAACCACACACTTTTCAGGAGGAACCCATCCCCCGCAAATGGAATATCCTTCAGGACTATGGATGCCACCCATGGGAGCCCAAGCAGCCTTCTTGCACCGCCTCTGCGCTCCCTACCAGTTACATTGTGGTGCTGTGGCTTCTTTGGTCTGTCCATAGCTCTAAGGCTTCTCTTCAGCTAGTGTTCAGTTGGCTATTCATCATGAGCTTTCTATAATTTCGTTGTAATTCCAGTTTCGTCCTGGGAGGAGGTTATTGTAGCTTTCACTTAACTTCTCCGCCGTCTTGGGTCTCATCTCTAATTTTTCTATCTAAATTTCTGAAAATACTTTTGGACTATATAGTCTAGATATTTTTTACATTTAACACAAGCAAAATCCATTTAATACCATGGTATCTATTGAAAATTTTAATAGCCATTGATTTATTGGCAATAATACCTCTAGTAGTTGACCAGACCCTTTATGATGATCTAATTTTACTTTGTAATTCTACTTTTTCTGTGATTTTATGTACTAATACAAGATGAGGATCAATTTTGTTTACTGAAATTAGAATTTTATAATGTGGAGGATTTTTTTTTTATGTTTAGCAGTCCTTTAAGAAGTCTTATTGATATTGAACTCTTTCTTCAGCTTGCAGCTGTTTGTGATGTATTCGTGGAGAACTTTATCCCTGGCAAACTGTCTGCAATGGGCCTTGGATATGAAGATATAGACAAGATTGCTCCTCACATCATCTATTGTTCCATTACAGGTATTTCAGTACTAGACCTTTGTCACTGAGTAGATTTTCAAATATCTGTGTTTCCTTGTTTCTGTAAGAACCCTCTTACTAGTGCTGGTTTTCTTGAAGTGAATCTGTTCTTTTTCCCCTCCCAAGACATTTTAGGTTGCTGAAAATTAACCTTTAAAGAACATTAACCTGAATGAACACTTTTCATGCGTTACTCGGAGTTTATATTTATGTGAATTGTCTGTGTATAATTTTTGCTAATTTTTCTATTTGTTATTTATCATTTTCAAAGTACTATTAACTCATATATACAATAGAATTACAGTAGAAATGTTACCTGGCTTTAAGATAACACAAGAACTCAACATATTTCTTCAGTATCGTCAAAAGTGCTAAGCCAAGGAAATGAGTGCTATGAAGTCTTTCAGGTACTTCAGCCTTTGTGGTGAACTTCTTATGTGTGTGTATGTATGTATGTGTGTAAATATGTGTTCATTTAGGCCAAAGGGAAAACTAATCATGTTTATTAGTTTTACATATATTATTTTATTATTATTTTTATTGTTGTTCAATTAGAGTTGTCCCAATTTTTCTCTTGTTGCTCTCCCCCCACCCAACCCATACCCGACTCCAACAGTAAATCCCAACCCTGTTGTCCATGGCCATGGGTCCTTTATATGTGTTCCTTGACTTGACTCATCCCCTTCTTTCCTCTGTTATCTCCCTCCTCCTGTCCCTGTGGTCACTGTCAGTATGTTCATTATTTCCATGTTCCTGGTTCTATTTTGCTTGCTTGTTTGTTTTGTTTACTAGATTCTACTTATAGTTGAGATCATTTGGTATTTGTCTTTTGCCACTTTGCTTATTTCATTGAGCATAATGTTCTCCAATTCCATCCATGCTGTTGTGAAGGATAAGAGTTCCTTTTTTCTTTATGCTGCATAGAATTCCAGTGTGTAAATGTACCACGGTTTTTTGACCCATTCATTTACTGATGGGAACTTGGGCTGTGTCCAGCACTTGGCTACTGTGAATAATGATTTTATGAACATTGGGGTGCATATGTTCTTTTGAATTGGTGTTTCAGTATTGTTAGGGTATAATCCCACTGGGATCACTGGGTCAAAAGAAAATTCCATTTTTAGTTTCTACAGGAAATTCTACTGTTTTCCACAGTGGCTGCACCAGTCCACATTCCTACCGACAGTGTACTAGGATTCCTTTTCTCTACAACCTCACCAGCACTTCTTGTTTGTTGATTTGGTTATGATGGCTATTCTGACCAGTGTGAAGCGGTATCTCATTGTGGTTTTAATTTGCATATCTCTGATGGCTAAGGTTGTTGAGCATTTTTTCATATGTTTCTGGACCTTCTATATGTCCTCCTTGAACAAATGTCTGTTCAGTTCCTTTGGCCATTTTTTTTATTTGGGTTGTTTGTCTTCCTGGAGTAGAGTCGTGTGAGTTCTTTATATATTTTGGAGATCAAACCCTTGTCTGAGGTATCATTGGCAAATATGTTTTCCTATACAGTTGGTTCCCTTTTCATTTTGCTGATATTTATTTAGGCCCAGCAGAAGCTTTTTAATTTAATGTCCCATTTTTTTTTTTTTTTTTGTTTCTTTTATGTCACTTGCTCTAGGAAATACGTTGGTGAAAATATTGCTGCATGGGATATCTGAAATTTTTCTGCCTATGTTTTGCTCTAGGACTTTTATGATGTTGTGACTTATGGTTAAGTCTTTTATCCATTTTGAGTTTATTTTGGTATATGGTGTAAGTTTAAGTTTATTTCATTTTGTTGCATGTACTTGTCCAGCTCTCCCAACACCATTTGTTGAAGAGGCTAATTTTCCTCCATTTGATGCTCCTGCCCCCTTTGTCAAATACTAATTGATCATAGGGACATTGGTTTATTTCTGGGCTCTCTGTTGGTTCCATTGAGCTATGTGTCTGTTCTTATGCCAGGATTAGTCTGTTTTGATTACAGTAGCCTTGTAATATAGTTTGATATCAGTTATTGTGATCCCTTATATGTTGTTCTTTTTTTCTAAAAATTGCTGAGGCTATTTGGGGTCATTTATAGTTCCTTATAAATTTTTGAAATATTCATTCTGTATCTGTGAAATATGTGAGTGGTATTTTAAAAGGGATTGCATTTTATCTATAGATTGCTTTGGGTAATATGGTCATTTTAATGATGTTAATTCTCCAAATCCATGAACATGGTATATGCTTCCATTTACTTGTGTCTTCCTTAATTTCTTTCTTCAGTGTTGTGTAGTTTTCTGAGTACAGGTCTTTTACCTCCTTGGTTAGGTTTATCCCTAGGTACTTTATTTTTCTTGTTGCTACATAGTGAATGGGATTTTTCCTTAGTTTCTGTTTCTGATATTTCATTGTTGGTATGTAAAAATGCCTTTAGTTTCTGAATATTTACTTTGTATCTCACTGTTTTGCCAAATTCACTTATTAGGTCTAGTAATTTTTTGGTGGAACCTACAGGGTTTTCTGTGTATACTATCATGTCATCTGCAACAATGACAGTTTTACTTCCTCCATTCCAATTTGGATGCCTTTTATTTCTTTTTATTTTCTGATTGTTTTTGGCTAAAACTTCCAACACTAGGCTGAATAGAAGTGGTGACAGCGGACACCCTTGTCTTGTTCCTGATTTTAGGGAGAAAGCTTTTAGTTTTTGCCTGTTGAGTATGATGTTGGCAGTAAGTTTTTCATATATGGCCTTTATTATATTGAGGTATGCTCTCTCCTCTCCCACCTTGCTGAGTGTTTTTTATTATAAGTGGGTGCTGTACTTTATCAGATGCTTTTTCAGCATCTTTTGATATGATCGTGTGTTTTTTGTCTTTCATTTTGTTTATGTGATGTATTATGTTTATTGATTTGTGAATATTGTACCACTCTTGCATCCCTTGGATGAATCCCAGTTGATCATTGTGTATGATCTTTTTAATGTATTGCTGGATTAGGTTTGTCAGTATTTTTTTTGAGGACTTTATCATCTATGTTCATCAGTGACATTGGCCTGTAGTTTTCTTTCTTTTGTGTATGTTTACCTGGTTTTGGAATTAGGATAAAACTGGCCTAAAAAAAAAAAAGAGTTCGTTAGTATTCCTTCTTGAATTTTTTAGAATAATTTCAGATTGACAGGAGTTAGGTCTTCCCTACATGTTTGGTAAAATTCTCCTGTGAAGCCATCTGGTCCAGGGTTTCTGTATATTGAAAGTCTGATTATTGCTTCAATTTCACTAATGATTCTTGGATTTGGGCTTTCTGTTTCTTCTTGATGCAGTTTTGGCCGATTGTGTTTCTAGAAGTTTGTCCATTTTGCCCCAGTTGTCCAGTTTCTTGGCATATAGTTTTCTTAGTAATTTCTTACAATCCTTTGTGTTTCTGTGGTATCATTTCTAATATTATTTATTGGGTTCTTTCTCTTTTTGCCTTGTTGAATCTGTTTAAAGTCTTGTCGATTTTGTTTATCTTTTCAAGGAACCAGCTCCTTGATTTATTGATCCTTTGAATTGTTCTTTTAGCCTGTATGTTATTTATTTTGCCCTGATCTTGATTATTTCCTTCCTTCTACTCTCTCTGGGCATTCTTTATTGTTGTTCCTAAAGTTTTTTTAGATGAAAGTTTAGGTTGTTCATTTGAGATTTTTCTATCTTCTTTATGTTAGGCTTGTATTGCTATGAACTTCCCTCTCAGGACTGCCTTTGCTATCAATGTAGATTTTGGGTTTTTGTGTGTTCATTTTCATTTGTTTCCAGATAAGTCTTGATTTCTTTCCTTGATATCATTTTTTAATAACATGTTATTCAATCTCTATATGTCTTAATGTTTTTGAGTTTTTTTCCTTGATGTTAGTTTTTTTTATAAATCCATTGTGATCTGAGAAAATGCTTGATATGCTTTCAATTTTCTTGAATTTTTTGAGGGTTGTTTTGTGTCCTACCATGTGGTCTAATTTTGAAAATGTTCCATGTGCGTATGAAAAAAACGTATATTTTGCTTCTCTGTGGTAAAAAGTTATGGATGGAAATATCAATTAATTACATTTGTTCAGTGCCACAATATTTGTTAATTCTTTGTTTTGAAGATCTTTCCATTGTTGACAGTGGGGTGTTAAAATCCCCTAGTGTAAGTATATTGCTGTCTATATCTTTCTTGAAGTCCTCTAAGATTTTCCTTATATATTTGGATGCTCCTAGGTTGGGTGCACATATGTTTAAAAGGGTTATATATTCTTGATGAATTCTTCCCTTAAGTATTATGAAGTGTCTTTCTCTGTCTCTTTTTATGGCCTTTGATTTGAAATTGATTTTTCCTATTATAAGTATTGCTACTCCAGCTTTTTTTTTTTTTTCCATGTCGATTTGCTTGAAATTATTTTTTGTATCTGTTCACTTTCATTCTGTGTCTATCTTTTGTATTGGGATGGGTCTCTCCTAGACAGCATATTTGTGGTTCATGTTTTCTTATCCATTCAGCTACCCTGTCTTTTGATTGGAACATTTACTCCATTTACATGTAAGGTTATTATTGATCCTTTATTATTCATTGCCACATTTTCCATAACTTTTTTCTCTCTTTGTCTCTGTCTCTCACTTTCTTCTCCTTTTTGTAGCAGTCCTTTTAGCATATTTTACAATGCTAGTTTGGTGGAAATGTATTCTTTAGGTTTCTTTTGTGTGGTAAGCTCTTTATTTCACCATCCATTTTATTTTATTTATTTTTTTTGAAATTCTTTTTTAAAATTTTTTCAAATTTATAAATCATGTTTATTCTATTACAGTTGTCTCAATTTTTACCCCTTTACCCCGCTTCACCTATTCCACCACCAACCCCCGCTCTCACAGTCAATTCCCACTCTTGTCCATGTCCACGGGTCATTCATACATGTTCTTTGTCTAGTGCCTTCCCCTTCTTTCCACCATTGTCCTCTTTCTCACTCCCCTCTGGTCACTTTCAGTCTGCTCCATGTTTCTGTGACTGTGGTTTAT